TTAAGATGAATTGGTTTTAATTTGGAGCACTACTTTGAGAATTTAAAGAGTTGTTATCTAATTCTCTTGAATTGTTTATTTTTTTGGAAACAAGAATATAACTTTCTTCCATTATTAGACTGATCGAAGACGTAAAACATTTTTGACCAAATAACTGCTGGAGTACAAACCAAAGAATCAAAGGGGGAGGAAAACGATTTGGATTCATTTCTATTTTGACGGAAAAGCAGAAACGGAAAATGGGGGTCAGAAAGGTCAATGAGTAAAAACGTATGAACAATTATGCATATTGAACAACTTCATATTGCTTCTTGATTACACCAACATTTTTCCAATACTTATCCCTTACCTCCATTGGTGCTTGTAATTTTTTAAGATTTGATACCACATGTAAGGCCCAAATTTATAGAGTAACAATAAAAATAAAGCATCTTCAGATCAATTATCTTACAACACTCATTTAACTCGTCATAATCAAATGGTTTCAAGTTTTTTGAACAAAACAAACTCGAAAATATCTTTAAAAGCTTTCATGTCATCAAATATTCAAATCTACCTTGTAAGAATTTAAAGCAAAATCTAGCATTACATGTAATTGTCACAAAAATGGGAAAATATGAAGGCAAATTTACTTTACTTTTACGTGTTACATGTAATACTAAATTTGCAAAGCTGGCAAAATATGAAGCCGATTTTGGCAGTAAATCTGATTTCGTTAAAGATTCTAAATTTTAAGCTTTCAAAAATATATTTTGTTCTTTGTGCAAATACTTTTATAGGAAAAATTGGTTGGAGTCCCATTTATAAAGTATGTTTAGCTTGATTCAGAGCAAGTTCAAGCCTTCATTTTTATACATGCTTAAATAGGCAATCAAGTTCAATTCAATTTCTCAAGAACTGTTTCTACTCACGATCTAACACTCTAACACTCTAACACACATGATAAAAATCGTCAACCACAATGTAAGTGTGATTTGATGAATCTCATAGATTATCATCCAACGGCCTAAACTAGTATTGTCAGGAAGGAACTTAACAAAGTTACATTAAAAATAGAAAAAATGAAATAATATCTGCTTCTAAGTTCTAAATCGGAATTCTAAACTATTTAAAGTTAAGCAGCTAATTAGCTCGTCAAATGACAACCATATTCACAGAGCTTGGTATTTGTGGTCGAAGATGCACCCGTATTCGCCCCTTCACTAGTATTGCAATGTCATGAGATAGGTCACATGGCTTAACGATCACTTGTTTGAGTGCAGCAGCATTCTTTATAATATACAAAACATATTCCAGTTCACATGGGCATCCTATATATCCGGTGAGCTTCAACTTTTTCAAATTAGAAAACTTTTTCGATGGTGGAAAATTGGATAACCCTTCACCGCATGTGCATTTTATTACTTTCAACGGGCAACTCCGCAACATCTGTACAACAACAACATCAAAGCCTTAGTCCTAAAAGAGTTTGGGATCATCTTTCAAACAATGTTCATTCTCACCTAGCAAAAGTTATGTTTTTTATACTTATTCCAGTCGAAATCAGGTAGAACTGTTCTTTTGGTAGCCTTGGGATTTCAGCTTAAAAGCTGAAATCCATTTGATACCATAACACCAGTTGAGGTTTCATTCTAAAAACTTATAAAAACAGAAAAATATTGTAATGTCATAATAGTAGAGGCTAGGTAGTTGTGAATTTTTACAAGTACAACATACCTTTATCTCAAGCTCCTCCAATGAAGGGCATGTTTCAACAATACCATATAGTGAAATCGAACTATAATCAGAACGATATGCTAGCGATAGATGTTTCACATTTACATATTCACAATTGCTAGCCAAGTAAGGAATCTGCACAATCAGAACAAAATATCGATAAGGATAATAAATGCATGTTCCATAAGAAAAATATCAAGGTGCAGCATTGATTTTCACTAACCGTTCTGGGATCGAGAAATATATGAAGTTGTAGCAGTTGACTGAGTACGCAAGATGGTACCTCATGAAAGATCTTACTAAGTGTGCAGTGTTGACAAAGAGCAGTAGTGACATCTGTAAGCTTAGGGACATCACTGAGTCGTAGAATAGCAGGCTTGCATGTGATATACGTCAAACTGACGAGGTTAGTCATCCCGCGAATCTCAATGGATTTCATACGAACCGCGTAAGATATATCAATGTGCTTCAATTTCATCCCAGAACGGCCAACAATCAAGAGATTTCTGAACATATCAGACCCTGTGATAGACAAGGTCTCAAGGAGGGGAAATTTTGCAAGCAAAAGCTGAACCTCTCCATCATTCACCTGAACATTAGTCAGAGATATTTCCTTAAGCCCGCAATTGAGGCTTGTCGTGCGTTTCAGCCCAAACAAAATTGTAAGTTGAGGCGAGTTGAAGAGTACATGGTCTATGTGTAGTCTGATGGTCTCAACCCCCCGAGACAACACAAAGTCCAGCCACTTTTCAATATTGGCTCCCTCAAAACTGCACATATGCACCTTGAATTCTTTCACTTGGTTACCCTTATACGAATCTAAGGTACAGTCGACCATCTTTATGTAATCTACATGTAACACCTGATGAAAAGGTAAAGTATCTGAAAATGAAGGGAAGTCAAGGCGGGCAGTGTGGTGATAGAGATGTCGCCAGCGAGCGGAAAGGATGCTGGTGGCTATAGCTTCTCGCAATGTGAGCCGTGAGATTATGGATATAAGAATGTCATCAGGCAGTTCACTAATTCTATCCACATTATCACCATGCCCCTTTGGACCTCTAACTGCCAACTCCTGAAATTCCTACTACTTCAGTTGTATACAATTTATTTTATACATAATGATACTAGGATGATCAAGTAAAAATGAAAATAGACATAAATGAGTATCATGCACTAACACCTTGCTTTTGAATTTATGTTGTCCCTGTCTTTCTCTATTTCCACCTTCATAAGCTGTACAAATACCAAAAACAACAAACAACAGTAATCAGTATTAATCGCACCCAAGAACATACTTGTTATTAACATATTGAGTGTTTGTGTTTGCTATGAGTTTTTAGAAAATTAGAAGTGATTAATTTTAAATATTATATGGAAAATGATTAACAGTAAAAATTGGTAACGCAAAAAAACAACCATTTGAAAAACTAAAGTCTATATAGTCTTTTGTAAAAATGTGCTTTTTGTGTAATAGAAAAAATGAAAACCAGTTAAAAGCATCCCTTCCTTTTTTCAAATTTCTAAGCGGAAACACCTATTTGAAAACACTACTTTTAATTACGGAGTACATTTTAAGCTAAAAACTAACAAACACTTTTTAAGCAAAGCAAAACAAAACTAAATGGAGGTACTTAGGCCCAGTTGTTTTGCACAAGAATGTTCTCTCTTGGTTTAGTTTGAACTTGTTTAGTTTGTCCAAGTATGATCCAGTTTGACCTTACATTTATCTAGTTATTTTTTATTAAATGATGTTATGGTCCAGTTTGATATGTCGTTTGATTTAGGCTAGTCTATTTCAGTGTAATTTGATGAAATTTGTCATGATGGAACCGAAATAAGGAACATCAGCCTCGGGTAGTGATACTAAAAGAAACTCAATGTCGTTAAAGTAGTGCGTTTGCTTCTACTTTAAAAAAAGTGATTGTGTTAGTGATTTTTGATAAAGTGCTTAATAGTAAAGGATGATAGTGTTAAAAAAAAGTGATTTAAAGGAAAGAGTTAACGTTGGAGTGTTTGCAAACATTCCCTAAATGGCACTCGATGCCTTTTTTAAGAATTGAACACACACAAAATAATTACGAAAAATTGATGATACACCACTACTATCTAATAAAAGGAAATATATACTCCCTCAGTCCCACCAAACGTTACCAAATTTTCTTATTTAGTCATCCTAAAGAATCTTACCATTTCTATTTAAAGTAATAAATACTTCCTCCGTTCTTTGTTAGTTGCAACGCTTCCATTTGCACATCTTTGACCATTCATATATTTAATTCCTTAATTGTTAAAATTTCAAAAAAATCACATTTTCAAATAATAAGTGAGAAGAATTTTATTATATTTTTTAAAAAGTAAACTTTTAATGCATTCGTAGAACGCATGAATAATGTAAATTTTCTAATGTGATTGTATTTATTTTTTCTGCTTTGCACAAATATCAACCAAACAAAGTGACACAGTTTTTAATATATTATTTCTCGTGCAAGTTAAATATGACCAAATTTTTCGAGACAGCGGAGTAGAATAAAAAATTACAACCAGATATGTGCCGATGTTCCCAAAAATACATGCACTAAATCTGAAAAAAAATGAATACATGCACTATGCCACTAAATGTTGCATAAAAATGTATCTGAAAATTTATTTTAAAACATCCAACCCAACTTACACAGTTACACTGCTTCACTCAGCCATCGGTTGGCAGGTTAATTTTTGGTCTAAATCATGATTAACTTATAATAATTGGGATTACCCTGGAATTACCAGGCATGAGTGAAAGTATTCATGTCATTTTACGAAAACAATTGAAAGTTGAAACTCACAACTCAAGTTTGAACTGCACCCGTTATAGAAAATTGAGTTTAGGAGTGAAATTCATACCTTTGGCATTAAGAATGGAAGCCCATAGTACCTCGTCGCGGCATGGGCAGTCTCTACTCATTCTGTCAGCATAAGAAAAAACTCACAAATAAAAATACAAACTCCCACCCTGCCTAGTAACTATGAATTGAACAGCATAATTAAAGATGTGCTGAAAACGATATGTACGTACGGAGAGTATTCGAAGACGACGGTGGCAGATGGCAGGATTGACTGATTCTCCTGAACAATAACCCGTAAAACCCAACCTAGTTCATGATTTATGGTGGGGTTGACCGCTTCTCCCGCTCAGATATTCTCTCCCTGCCTGACCCTGCCTCAACCAAGTTCCACTTTAACTTGGACATAATTTGTGTCGAGTTTTTTCCCGAAATACGGTTAAACAAATAAATATGTTTGGTTAAAAGTATTTTCCAAAATACTTCAGTTAAAAAACCGCAGTTAAAAAACCGCCACTTCAAGTGGCGGCTTATGTATAGTCGTAACTCGTAAACATTAACGCTCGCAACACGCCAGGCTGAAGCACAATTCGAGTAAGGGTCCACCACCTATTAAAATCCCATTTTCTTGTTTATTGGGGGAATCTTTTAACTGCTTGTTTATGTTTCCTGATTATTATTGGCTTATACTTGAGGCCGGGTAAATTCTAAGATAAATTACTATGTAGTCTTAATATGTGTGGAGCATTATTATATGGGAGGAATAATGGGTGTATGACATGAGAAACTAGATGAAGCTCTTGGTGAAACTGAGAAGCTCAGAATAGAGGATAAAATTCAAAAGTGCTTATTATGAGCAACTAATCAGTCTGAGACTTTAAGTTATGAATTGGTTAATTTCACACTATGTTCAATGCATAAGTAAAAGTGGTATTGAAATGGTGCCCAACAGTCCACATCAACATGATGGTTATGTATAGCATAAGCTTAATATGTTCAATTCCTTTTAAAAGGTCAAAATGCTATAGAAATTAATATGTTGTCATGCTGCAGGTGAAATTGCAGAATGTTTGTGATGAAAATTGCTGAGTTTCGAATGCTTGATAGGGAAGCTATTCAGGTTTCAAAGGATGACATGGAAATACACCGAGAAAAGGTGACAATGGAACCACCTTTGTATGATTCAAGACAAAATAGCTTTAATGAATGGTTCTTGTCATATGTATCGTAAACAAGCATATTTGTGGTGGTTAATATGTAAGTTGACACTTCAATGTCTATTTTTTGCATATTTGTTTCATGTTTTGATGTATTTAAGTGATTAAGCTATACTGATACAATTAAACCTTTTATATTAAGACTCATATTAATGTCTATTTTATGCCAAAATGTAGACATTAAATTCTATTTAATGTCATGTATGTTTTGTGTTACAAATCAAATTACAAAATGCAATCACGTACATCTTTCATAGTCAAATTATTTAAGAAAAAAGTCTTTAAAGTAGGTAATTAAGAAATCAAGATTATAGTTATATCATCTATGGGTAACTTAAATATTTCAAATACAAATAAGGCGTGCAAAAATAATTTATTGTCATTTAATATATTTATAAATCAATTGTGAGTTATATTAATAAACTTCTATTGTTTACAAAATGGAGTTCTTCATACTTGAATGTATGTCTTGATCAAAAGAAGTAATTGTTCAGAAATACTATATCAGAGTTAGACATTAATTATAAAATACAAGTCACTAACTAGACAGTAAACAGACAATAAATATATAGAGTCATAGTTGATATTTAGAAGTTGAATGAAATCTATGACATAATGAAAAAATATGATGATACACCAATAAATTGCATGATATTAAAACTTATTGTTAATATCCTTTTATTGAATATCCATAAAATAGAATGACAAAAAGAAAAATAAAGTGATTAAAGGTGGATAACTAAAACATGTGGGCTACCAATTGTTAGAGATCCATATTTAGTAGAAGATTTTTGTGACACATGACCAAACATAGTTAGAGTACTAAGTAGGAGGAAGTGGAATGTTAAGTGCAAATTGATGTGTAAAATGTATATAAACAAGCAGATAGTCATTAAACACACAGTAAGAAGACATTAATTTTGAATATGTCTGCTACTTAAGTATAACATCCAAAAGTACATCCTATCCTATCCTATATCCTATATACCTAAAAGCACAATCTTTTTACTCTGAAACTTCCCGCCTCTCTTTCCTGAGCCATTTACCGTTTCTTAGGATTAATTGTCGACAATTAACTCATTTACTCCATCCGTTTCTTTCACCCGTCATCTTGCCCGAAATTGAGCGCAATTTCTCCCGTCATCTTGCCCGCAATCTCTTTCAACCTTTCCATCACCTGCCATCTTCTGATCTTCACCATCCATCTACATCCATCTCCTTCCACTTCCATTTCTCCTCTTTATCTCCTATCTAGATCGATCGGCTTCTTCAACATCTTCCACAACGGAACTCTATACTTCCAGCAATGAGAACTCCAGGCACCCATGGAGTATGTATATCAATTCCCAAATACGAATGTTAAGTACGACTTAGTCGACATCTATCTATACATAAAAGCAATACAATTTTTTCCTGCCCAATCTATTTTTACACCTCATTCCTTGATTGATTTTCACAGTTCCGTATCTTCACCGTCAATTTGAGCATTCTTATCCAGCTTTTCATTTTTCCTCCTCTCTGACTCCACCAAATCAATCTATTCTGCCGTCACTGTTTTCCAGTTTTCCCATTTCTGCCGCTTCATCCACGATCTATTTTCTCCCTTCTGTATTCTTTAGCGATTTCTATGTCAACTTCAAATTCATGCCAAGTTCTTCGTTCTTTCTTTTTCTGGACCATGCCGCAGGCTTCCAAAATCAGCAGAAACCCTTTGTTCTGGAAACATATCACACTCTCCATATAAGTATTTATGGCCCACCGACCTTCTGCTCTTTCTTTGTCTCAATCAACTCTAGATTTCAATTACTCTCATCAATCAGATAAACAAGTTCTCCTTTTTATTATTTCAATTTTCTCCAAGTTTTTTTAATTCTTTCAACCGTTTGTTCTCCTTTCTTCAAAATAAAACAGGTTTAATCACATGTATTCTATCCCTTAGATGATTGGGGCAAATCAAATTCTTTATTGCATTTATGCCTATGTTAGTTTGAAGATTTTAGTTTGGACGGTTGAGATGAATTGTGATAAAATTTTGACATCAAGGTGTTTGTTGAAATTCCTCACCCAAATGTCTCTCACTGCACTGAATAACTTTTTATGAGTCCTCTAAATGAGTAATAAATTCATAATTCATAAAAGGAATACAATTCATCCACTTCATTTTCCCGCTCATTGACATCCCTAATGTTGTCATCCATTTCACTTTTTCAGTTTTGATTAATTAGTCTGCTCCATGGATTCATCTTTTTTCCTTCAAGCAAGATTTAGGCATTTTTGTTCTTCATCAATTTCACTTCTTAAAACTACTTATCAATAGATTCAGTTTTTACTTTAGGTTAGTTGTTTTTTCTACTTATCAATATTTGTGATTTCTTTAATCTGTTAGTGCTCTGTCTCATTCCAAAGCAGGGAGAAGTGCACCCTCTATATCAACGTTTTCTTACTGAACACTAACGGCACCTCCAAGAGAGAAGAGAAGGCTCACTTCATTTCCTTAAATCAATCGCCCTATCAGCCTTAAAGCAAGGGGAAGGGCACTCTCTATGCCTATTATTCTTCTATCTCCTTCCCTGGTCAACTAGGCCCACTTGGTTATCAGGTCATCATTATTAAGAATAAAAAATAGCTTGTGCTCATAAATTGATACATGTTAACAAATATTTGGTATTTAGATGGCTTTGTAATGAAACTTTCTTTGAGTTTAATCGAATATGCTTTTCTTATTTTTTGTTTTTTTTTATCATAATGCTATGATCATCATACAATATCAATATGCATCAAGTACAAAAAAGTTATTTACATATTTCAGAATCCTGACTATTGAAAAACATCTATAACTATTTGATGTTGTTAACCTCATATGTTGGGAAAAAGTTGAATGCTCTTATGAGTTTTCTTTGCAATTTGACTTTTATTATTATTACCTAAATGGGATGTTCTTATATTACCAAATCCATGTCCAAATGTTTTTATATTTAAACAGTCTACTCTTAATGATTAGTGTATTCTTACTCTAACTATTATTCCATTCTTAATTGAGCTTAATATAGAGTTCCCACTTTTCAGAACATCTTATACTTCAGTTTTAATGAAAAAACATAATTATTTTGGTGTTTTTTAATTCTATTACTGTCGGTTTTCCCATTTTGTATTATGTTACTGTCATTGTTCTATGTACACATTACTATATCATTGACTTCTCAAAATATCATTGGATTCTATTATGTTAGCATTGATTTGGAGTTTTTTTCATTGATGAGTGTTGACTGTTTAGGTAGTTGTCAGTTTCATATTTTGGCGATAAAAGTGATTCTATTATGTCAGTTTCATGGTTTGAAACTGAAACTTTATTTTTATACTATACATTTTTATACAGGCAAATAGGCAATACATGATGAAGGTCCAATAACATTGGTGAACATGTACCACTTTTGGGGTCATAGGGATAGATTACATGCTCTCATTATTTTTCATTATTCAAAGTAGTATTAAAGTTTGTGTATATAAAGATTACGGAGTATTTGTATATATCCTCCGTCTTCGGCAACAATCTTCCACCATCCTCCTTAAGTAGTTCCATTTTTTTGTTTAAAGTTCTTTTCCCAGAAGAAAACCTCTTTTTTAGATAACTTTTGGAACAAAACCCTTGGGACAGGCAATTAGGATTGTCATTCAATTCTCCATTAAAATTTACTCTCACATTTGGATTTTCTGCAAATATGAATTTCCTTCCTGGTTTCTCACAAATTTTATGGGTTGTTAACTTAAAGTTTTATTTCATGTATGATTTGTCAGTTAAGTGCATTATTGAGGGTTTATTATTGAAATAATGGAACAAGACTCTTGGAACTATGCAGTGGCAGGAAGCACAATCTCCAATCATTTTTTTCATCCAACTCACGTTTTCTTTTGTATTTGTTGTTTCAAAGCTGAAAGGGATGATACAAGGCTACTTTAGCAATGACAAAAACGAATATTTTCCACCTATTATTGAAGCCTTTGTGAATAGGAGGAGCTTCAAATCAATTGACTGGGCCGTGGATATTGTTAATGATGAAGAATTTGAGGTTTATTTTGTGAACGCTCATTGGACAGATGAGGAGATCGATAAGTTTTATGATGTAACGGGAAATGTAAAGAAAAGAATGACACTTGGTGGATATATCAATATGGATGAAAGAAAATGGGATGATATGATCAAAGAGAGTATTGTACGAACATCTAATGATACGGATTAGAAAAGAGTCTGAAGGAATCTTTGAGGACGGGCCTACTTCAATAGGATATAAGCTTCTACCTGATACTTTTTTTAATCCAAAAGCAAGTAAATGGAAATTTTATGTGTTTACATTGGCTTAGACTCATCTTAGAATAAGATACTTTCATACTTCTGCCATCCATTTATGTGTGACATCATGTGAAGCTCGAAACACTTTATAATAGCAAACATGTGGATGAGTAGTTGTTTTTGACACATTAAGGTGATGAGTTAAAATCCTATTGTTGTAGTTCCATTTTTCATTCATTTTCTGTAAAAAAAATCAAAGTGACCTTAGTAATGAAATTTTATACTCTTTAGGCATGTACACTATTTAAACATGATATTTTTTATATTAATTAGGTATCAATGTATCATATACATACATTCATAGGTATATTCATTTTCACACACATATATGTGTGTGTACGTAAATGATTTTTCCAATACTTCAAACTTCTTTTCCAATCATCTCTTATTTTCATTGTTTTATCATAAAGGTTATATTATTGATATTGAAGATTCCAAATCTAAATTTCAAAATTTTATAGAAATGTACTTAAATGGGGAGGTTGAAAAGGACGAGGTACGCCCTATTGTTAAGACAAGGGTGTCACCCTAAAAAATCAACCTAATAGAGCAATAACTCAAAGTCTTATATAATATTTTATTATTTTATAGCTTTTCGAGTGTAATAATGGGCCAAACAGACACTTAACAAACTACCCTTAATCATGGGTGCTAAACAAGCAGCCAAATCACAGACAGATTTGATTTTGATATCATATTAAGATCCAGAGTTTCATCTTAAAAGGTGAACCTGATATAAAGAGTAGCCCAAAGATTAGATTTGGAACAAATACTTTAACATATATTAACAAATATGATGTTGATTAGACAAAAGTGAAAAAATAATGAAAACACACTATTATTTAGAAATTAGAATTTAAAATAATCAGTTGATTGGTGTGAATTTTAATTCCTACAAAAACAAGTAGAAAAAAAATGATTTTAGTAAATTATTAGATTTATTTTATTTAAGCATCCCAAAAGGTGTTTATTAAATTGTAATGTTTAAGAAAAAAATCTCTTAATGCAAGTACAATTTAAATTCACATTCAAGTGTTAGAAGTAAATAGAAGATGTCTACATTTAATAAATCTAAACTAATTAGAGCAATTATATGTGTGCTAAACAAAGAGGTGTTTTAAGAAATACTAGATAACGCGAGCGTGATATGCACCCATGATGAAAATCCAAAAAATTGAAAACAATGTCACTAGATAAGAGCTTTGTTAGTAATATATGGTTCGTGAATAATACAATAATACGTACGTTCGTGTATAATACGATACAATTATATAAAATACGGCTTAATATATGTTCCATACGTTCGTGAAATATATAAAAATACGGACATTTTTTAAACGTTTCACAATTTAAAAATACGGCATATAATATGTGTCTTATATACTAATTTAATGATAGAAATAAAAAAGTTATTTAACATTTGCACCACATTCTTCAACAATTTAAAATGTATGGAATAGTTTTTTTTCATATATACGGATTTGAATGCATAGGCACAATTTGTAATAAAAATGGCATGACCTATTTGAGTAGACGTAGAGAGATATTATTAGAGAATAGTTGATATTACTTTGACCGTAAGTTTGGTGAGCCACCACAACAGTTTTCAATCTCTTTGGAGTCTTGGTATGGGTGGAGAACAAAAGTAATACAGTAGTAGTACAATAGTAATATTGAAACGGATTACGAATTTAAGAAGCTAATTTATTAAATGCAATGACTATTAAACAATTAACAAACATATAAGGCATAAAGTTTTTTAAGCAATATAAATAATAGTAGTATTGAGCAGCTAGACATTTCATTTCAGTTGTATCACTGCATTATGCTTCCATTTAATGGTGTGTGTTTTTGAATAAAATATGCATCAATACATAAGGTACGTGTATTATACTTAAAGTATCCTACATTTTATCTTTAAAGTACATGAGTTTTTCAGAATTTTCTGAAAAAATCATAAGCGAGAGTATTATACGTGAATAAAATACGTATCAATACGTACGGTACGTGTATTATACATTTCATCCTTAAAGTACGTGAATTTTTCAGAATTTTTTGAAAAATTCATAAACGAGAGTATTATACGTGAATTATATGTTTGAGTGTATTATACGCGAATTATACGTGAATAAACTAACAGAGGATAAGAGGAAATGATCCAGTTCACTGGTCTTCGATTCGTCCTCCTATGCAAGATCTTCGCATGAAATTTCAGCGCTCTTTAGGATGTTTTTACTTGGACTGTAATTTGCTGGTCTGGTCTGGTCTGGTCTGGTCTGGTCTGGTCTGAACTGGTCTGGTCTGGTCTGGTAAGGTCTGGTTTCTTTGTATTTTTATAACTATCCAAGTCTGGTCTGGTCTGGTCTGGTCTGGACTGGTCTGGTCTGGTCTGGTCTGGGACAAATTACAGTCCAAGTAAAAACATCCTTAATCGGGGTCTCCTCAGCCTCCTGGGAAAAAAGTCAGATCATCATTAATTTATTATATGTTTTCTTATTAAACCTCTAATGTGATAAAAATGTAATGTATAAATGTACTTATATATTACTCCCTCCGTTCCACTTTAAGGTTCCCACACGATTTACGATGTTTGACTGACCATAGAGTTAACTGATTTCTGTCATTAATAGAATTATTTTTAGTAAATAAAATTTACATATTCAGAAACTACATTAAAACCGCTACAAAACCTGCAAAAAATAATATAATTTCATACTTTCGATATATAAAGTAAAAGATTAAGAACAATGCACATTGACCGAAGAATAATGTACGAGAACTTTTAAATGGGACGGAGAGAGTAATATTCATAATATTTATATTACATCCCGTGCAACGCACGGGTGGAATACTAGTAAACTAAAACACCAAAAACGATGACACTTAACATACATTACAATGCCAACAAACCATGGCAGTTACGAATAGAGAGAGAAAAAAGTATAAGTCTTATAAATGTTATTCAATGAAGAAAAAAGCTGAATCCATAAATATTATCAAACTGAGAACTACGAATTGGGATAGGATTCCTGCAAGTACAAATGACTCCCCACGACGATACTAAACTGTTAACAATTTTAAGACCTGGGAAGTTTCCAGTAAAGCGTCCCACAAGGCAGTATCCCCAGGTTTGAACCAACGACGTTGTTGAGGTTTTGTCCCGTAGATGCGGAAGCCCAACATAAACTTGGGATATTAAGGACGATGGATTCGGTATAAAAGTGAATAAATATATAAAGAAGTGTATGAACTAGCTATTTTGACGTGGAAACCCGGAAAGAGAGAAAACCACGGGACTTTTTAGGCTAACGTCCAAGCCCGCTCTTTTCATTGATATACTCTCCTCACCATTTACATGATATATTTTCAGCTTCCATTAATGGAGCTTGAGCTACTCTAATCTAACAAGATGAAGAAGAATAGGCAGGGAGGGAGGAGAAGAGCCAAAAATCCGATCCCCTCAAATGGGAGCCCTCCTCCCTATTTATAGGAAATGGGGGAGGGGTTTCAATGGGCCAACGGGCCTAACGGGCCGAGAAGGCACTAATGGGCCGGAGCAGGCCTAAATGGGCCGAAAAGGGTCGGGTAGGCCTAAAACGGGCCTCACCGACTGGGCTCCATACCGGGTGATGCCTCGGGCCTCTAAACAGTAATGGGCCGGGGTAATATACCCAACAGACGTTATATCTTCTTCTTCCATCAGTAAAACGTCATCCCAGAGGGTGGGAAATACTCTTGTTGCATGTCCTGGGTAGAATATGTGTTGTGTTATGTTAAAACAAACCAGCCCATCTTTTTCGGGGGTTGCACTGATTTCTGGTTGAGGACTTTTGTCGAGCACTTTATTTGCATCAATTGAACCCTCCATTTCAGAAAGTTCTTGGACTATAACCGGTTGTATCTAGTTCACCGTAAGACAATCAAAGAATTATATGAAGTAGAAAAAAGGAAATCAACATTGGAAACTAAAAACAGAGAAGAGAAATACTCTGAACTTTAATTTCAAGGTCTGAATGAGAATTCAAACTTGAAGATGAAAGAACTCATGCATAATATATAAACGAAATACGTTTATACTTGAAACATCAAACAATAACAATTTTTTTAAAAAAAAAATGAGTATAAAACATACCAAAAAGTGGAGAAAATTTGCACAATGTATGAAGCTTGATGAACAATTGAATGGCGCTTCAGAATAATTCTTGGACCATACGAGCACAATTGAAACTGGAGAAGTGATCACGGATGAATAAAAGGACGAAGATCTTGAGCTCGGTTGATTACAGACACGAAGAGCGAAAGAAGAAGAAAAGGTCATTGCGGATGAGTTCAGTCGTTGCCCAAGTCATTCGTCTTTGATACGCAGACTAAAGTGGAGGGTAAAACTGGCAACTAAAAATTAATTTTTTTAAAACAGAACTAAATAAAACCTACGGATGGAAAAAACCTTACTAAGTCCTAAACTTGTAAACTTTGTATGATTTAGTCTTACTAATAGCAATTTTCTCATCTTTTTTTTGTCCTCGAGGAAAATTATTCTCATTTTTATCCAATGAAAAGATGAATGTCTCATTTCTCTCTTTTTCCATATATATTTCTTATGTTATACTATCTCCATTCATCAATAATTTCAACAATTTGACTTTCATCGTTTCGCGTTTCCCAATACATAATTTTATTATAATTATATTTAATTACGTATAAGTAAACATTATAAAAAACTGATATTTTTTAAATTCACATTACTAGGTATATATATTGGCAAAAAATCGAGATCAAAGTAAGATATCTGTATAATGCAAAATTTACAATGTTGCAACAATTAAAAAATGGAGGAAGAATTCATCAACGAACCTATTCCATCGATCCGTTCGATCAGGTTTCATCAGATTCAACCAAGTAGAAGCGGACCTAGCTTACTAGCAATGGGGGGCACATGCCCCCAATAAACTCTCAACAATTACTTTAAAAAATTATAAGAGTACTTAACAAAGAATTACTGAATGTGCCCCCAACAAAGAAAATGAATGCCCCATCAATTTGTTCTAACACTTTATTACTTTAAATGGACAACACATCCGAAAGCCAATTTTTTA